CGGCCCTCCTGGTGCTCCCGGGGGTCGCCGTCTGTGCCCCCAGCCCATGCCCTCGCCCTTTGCGTCCGGCTGGGTGTCACTGTACCCCCCTCCCTGCCTGGGGTGTCCCGTCAGGCCGGAGTCCTGAGCTGGGGGGGAGCCTGCAGCAGTCGGGCTGGCTGTCACCCCCAGGCTGGGCCTGGAGCTCCAGCCCCGCTGCCCTTTGCTGCCAGCCCCCTCCCCTGCTCCCTCCCAGCCCGGACTGGGGCCAAGTGACAAAGCTGGTGTGCAGCTTGGGTCAAAACCGCAGTCAGAGTAGCACTGGAAAACTGCTACTGCCTTGTGCTGTCACTGCCGGGAAGGAGAGGACTGTGGAAAACCTATGTTCTTAACTCTAAATGAAAACTCCCATCAAAAGAGTACATTTCCATTTTAGATTAAAATGAAATAATCCTTAAATGGGCTTGTTGTGGTCCTCCAGCTGTGATGTGGTTGAAACTGTAGGCTGCTTAGTCTGAGAACTTACCCTGAGTGTTTTAAATTGGGTATAAAACCTAGTTAGCTGTCACAGATGGTTACAAGCAGAAAGGAATATATATGGAAAGGATTCTCTACAAAGTACCATTATCTGCAGTGTTACTGGGGCTGTATTGCATTGCGTATTTGCTAAATACTGTATCTGGCACTGTTTAATAATAAGCTATTTGTGTCGTTCAATTCTGCTTGTTAAGTCTTTGGTTTTGTTTCTCTTAACAGTGACTGTGTTCTTAAGCACTTTGACTCCGAAATTCTACTTTGCCCTTACAGTGACTTCGTCTTTTATATCCGGACTGATATTTGTAAGTAGTCCGCTTTTATTTTTTTTTAAACAACTGTAGCACCTCTAAGATGCTTTCCTTAGGGTAAAAGCAGCCGGCTCTTTGTTGAGCAGACTCTAGAGGGTGCCTTTGTCCTAGGAAGGAACTTGGTCAGTGTCTTCTTTGATGTATTGTACATACTCCTTTGCTGTGTGTGTTGTACGTCGGGGTGAGTCTGAGAAGATAGCTTCTGCCTGGTTTGGGAACTCAGGCTCGTTTTAAGGAGGTGGGTGTCCGTATATACATAGTATATATGGGTATACGTAGGTGTGCGTACGCAGAGATGCACTGGAAGTGCAAGACTTAAACGTAGGCCTTTAAAGAAAACATGGATTTTTCTCTCTTAAACTGGGTAGTTGATAGTGTGGCTTCCCACAGTGGTGCTGGGGGAGCTTTCTTGCACGTCATCATGTCACTGTAACTTCGGTGTGAAAACGAGCCGGTAACTCAGCCCCTCCCTCGACAGACGACTGTGCAGACGTGGCTGCCTGCACGAGGTGGATGGGGCACGCGTGCGTGGTCAGTTCTGCGGGCGCCGCTCTTTGCGCAGCCGTAGCGGCCGACCTGGTGCGGGCTGTGGCGCTACGTACAAATCATTTGGGTTAATCTTTATTTTCGGTATTAAAAGCTAAAGAAAACGTCTCTTCTCATCCGTTAAACCATAGTGTGCGAGATGGGTTTCGTAGGTGATGGTGTGGTAGCCATCACTGGAAAAAAAGTGTCTTATTTACATGGCAGAAACAACTTACTTGCTGTAAGTGATGTTGCTTGGGTTTTGGTTGGAGGGTTTGAGGAAAGCCGTAGAAGGAAATGGATTCTCCTTGTAATAGGCCTTTTATGTAGGTTTGCTCTTAAGAAGCGGTTATTGGGCAGCCACTGTTCGTAGTAACGCTTCTCACGGGGAAGGGAGGAACACTTGTTTGACCACAATTTCTCTTTTTTTTCCGGTGTCTTCCACCTTCTGTGGGTGATCCTGCCTGACAAGACAGGCCAAACCAGACCATTAGTGTTAATTTGTGGATAAGTTCCACCTATGTTCATTTGCAAGGGGAGGCACTACCTGTGAAAGGTTAGCTCTTCATCTCTGTTTATGTTGGAAGGGTGTTGCCTAAGGGAATTTCTGGTGTGTTTTTCTCCTGTGACAGGTGTTTGAGTGGTGGCATTTCCGAAAGTACGGCACATCTTTCATCGAGCAGGTTTCTGTGAGTCATTTGAGGCCCCTCATCGGCGGCACAGAAAGCAGCCCTCCAGCACCCGCAGCGTTCTCTGCTGCAGAGAGTGAGACCAGCAGGCAGAACATGCCAGGTGATTCCCGTGTGTCCCAGCAGTTTTCCTTGAGCTTCAAGGCAGCTGCTTCCCATGAACTGGCATTTACATGGCTTTGGCTCTGCGCTGGTGCTTGTAAGAACTGGGGAAAGGCCATTGCCTGGGTGTAAATGCCTGTGCTTAATGCTTGTACCGTGTGCTTTTGTACCCCAGCAACGTTGGGGAACAGAAGTGTTTATGGGAAAGTAGAAATTCATGAAGAAGATCATATGATCGTGCTCGAGTTGTATAACAATAAAATTAAAGCAGCTTTTGAAAGTAAAACTGCATTTGCATTGCTGCATTTTAAAGTCAAGGTAATATTTCCTGTGCTCTTAATTCAAAAAGTACTTTTTTGTTTCCTCCCCAGAGTGCAAAGTGTGGCGAAATCCTCTCAATCTTTTCAGAGGGGCAGAGTATAGCAGGTATTAATTATCTTACTTTCCGTTGCGTATTTTTGAAATGAATTGGAGGCATGCACGACTCCTTCACAGAGCTTGCACTGGCAGTGTGAGGAGGGAAGTGAGACCTGCAAGATTATAGGGGTGATTGATGCCAGCCCCCCTGTTTAAAAGGCACCTATTCAAGCTTTGGCAGTTTCAGTGTTAAGAATGCAAATATGACTCACTCTCTCAAAAAAAGATGTTACAATAAAGTAGAAGAAAAACTTTATTCAGAGGTTGAGATGGTGATTCTGGATCTAAATTCTCTTTTATTAAACTGATGTGGCTGCAGTGTAAGGCTTCTTGTGTAACTTCATAGCAAAATCTGCTTCCTAGGGAGCCAGCTCCCAAGTTGTTTAGAACTTTGGGATCAAAAGACTACTTTTTGCCCTCTGCAGGAAGCCTCCTGGCAACCTGTACAGACTGTGGAACCTGAAAACCTCGTTAGCCACTCCAGTCTTTTATTAATAGGATTTTTCTGCACTAGCTTTGGATAGGCACATCAGGCCCCCTCGGTATCAGCATTACTATTTACTAGGAGTGCTCTGACTGACATTTCTCCTGTTAGATACATGTGGGTGACTGGGAAGGAGCCTCTTACATACTACGACATGAATTTGTCTGCTCAGGATCATCAGAACTTCTTCACGTGTGACACGGACGCCCTTCGGCCTTCAGATACAGGTACCGCTGTCGTGTGTGTGGGGTATGTGACTGCTGGAGAGTTGGAGTGGGTGTTTGTAATGTGCTCCAAGGGAGTGCAAGCTGTCATGTCAGATGTGTTGTGAAATGATTGCCTCTCTCAACTGCTACAGGGGTTTAATACATGTATTTAGTGACAAGATGGGTTTTTACCTTGTGCTTTCTCTCCTGACTTCGAGGCGGTCAGGATCCTGGCATAAGATCTCACACTTTCCAAATCGTTCACACCACAGTCTTGAAAACCTGGCTTGTATTCCCAACAGCCAAGGACACGGTCGCATGTAAACCTTAGCCACGAGCAGTGCAGCCTCCGGAATTCCGTCGTCATGTCCCACACGCTGAGCGTGTTCCTGACCTGGTTATTGTCAGCCTGGGCGCGAGCTCTTGTCGGTTGGTCAGGTTCCGGCGGCGTTGCTTGTCAGCTGGCTGCGACGGGCTTGGGATGAACGATGTGTTTTTCTTGCGCAGAATGGGGTGGATTGTCTCGCTTGCGAAGCCAAGACTAATATTTTGTTTCCAAAAGAAAACTCAAACATTTTTCCATGTTATTCTTGCTGGACGGCAGAAGGTTTTGTTCCAAAAGAAACATGGAGAGAGTCTTCAGTTTTCTTATCGTACTTGAGATAGGCCAGATACGGAACTCCGTGAGTGTGAGGTTTTGGAGTGTTCAGAACAGGTTTGTAGCGTGAAGGCTCTTAGTTCTGAGCGGAAAATGGTAGCTCCGTTGTTCTTCTTTTGCTACAAGTCGGTGTTCAGTTCGGGATTTCCGTTTTATCCTCCTGGAAGTGTAGCGGAGAGGGCTTTAGAGTCGCCGCGTTGAGCTTTCGTTTGCTCCTTACCTGGCCGTAATTTTGAATTCAAGTTGTAATTCAAACGATCCTTTTGAATAGAGATTTCACCCTTTTTAATTCTTCCCTAGAACACTTTATAAAAGGGTGATAAATTATTATAGTATGTCTTGGATTGGCTGTGTCGTATTACGCCACTCAAGTGTGCTTTGGAAATTTAAAAAGGCATTGTTTAACCCTTGGTGATCTGGTAGTTGTCTAAATACTTCAGTGTAAAACTCCACCCGAGCAAGGCACAGCGTACCCTGTCGCTGCGCTCTTTGAAGTTCTCTTTGAAAGCTTAGATTAAAATTCTGAGCAGGTCCATGCAAGAACCTGTGTTTAACAATTGCTCCTGCCAAGCTTTCAGCAAGTCTTGGGAAACGTCTCCAAAAATCTGTAGGGATTGAGCAATGGCCCATCTGCTTGGTTATGTCAGCTGCCTTTGCTTCTCCGTGTAGGAGTCCTTCAACGGCCAGGGGATAATCTGGCGGTGTTGCTTTCTTAAATTAAATTTGGGGCGTAATGAGCAGCCGCAAGAGTCTGCTGCTTGTGGTAGAAACTCACGCTGGAATTAAAACACTTGGTTACCCTTCTCTGTAACAATCCTATAGCAAAGAGCAATTTGCAGGATGGTAGTGAGTGTCGCTGCAGAGCTGAGGCGTCAGCAGCCGGCGTCGCCAGCGCCGGCTCTCGGGTGCTCCACCGGTGTCCCTGGCCCTCACCAGCCTTTCCATGTTTTTGCCACAGTTATGCAGAAAGCCTGGCGGGAGAGAAACCCTCAAGCCCGGATTAAAGCGGCGTATCAAGCTTTAGAGTTGAACAATGAGTAAGTTTAGAGGATGAGTTCAGTTGCTCTATTTCTGGTGTGAAGGTTGAAGTGGGGTGATGTTGAGCTCACCCTCCGTTTCTTCTTCTAGTAATGTACTTTCAGCAAAGTTCTGAACAGCTTTGGGGGATTTCAGTGACTCCAGGAAGCGCACACAGGGCTGTCAGGTGCACTGAAGTGTTGACCTGCTCTGTTTAAACATAGAATTACAGACTGGTTTGGGTGGGAAGGGACCTTAAAGCCCACCC